CGTGCAACCAGGATTTAAACTTAGCCACTCTCCTTCCAGAATCTTGCATACTTCACCATTGCTCACTAACCTAATTCCTATCTCAAATCAAAATCACTTTACTTCTGGACTTAGATGCTTACTTATCACAGCTTTCTGTGGTAGGGCTTATTTGTAGTATGTGTTTGCATTTGAGAATAATATATATATTTTTTTCTTTACTCACTGTTTAGATGATACCATGTTACAAAGCACGAAGGAAGTTGTGAGAGGGTCCTGCAGTGACATGGCAGTCATGAGCACATCCCCTTCAGTGCTGATGTTGTGACAGGCAATGAACCTCTGAAAGTTAAACCAAACGTTCCTGCAGTTGTGGAAGTAGATGAAATGACTCATGGATCGAGTGCATTCACAGTAAGAGTTGTATATTCTGGGTACTTTTCTTATTTCTGGGTTCTTTCACACTGGCTTCTATTCATTCGGTCCCTCTTTAACAGACGTGTTGCAGTGGATGAAAACTGGTCTAATTTAGAGGACTGTATGGAACATCTGTTCTATTTTTGCCCTCGCATCTAGTTAGAAAAGTAGAAATTGCATTATCTATTCCTCGCTATTTAACGATAATTAGATAATTATTAAAATTATATTATCCTGTATCTTCCTCCTATAATGCAAATAATGGATATGTGTTATTTGGTAAGTAGTTACTATGTGAAAAGACATGTATTTTAATCTTTTTGTTTTGTTTTGTTTTAAAGATAGCTTTATTGAAGTATAATTTACTTACCAGGGAGTTCTCCAAGTTTCAAACATTTTTGGATTTACAGAATCTAACACCCCAGTTTGGATACTTAGCACTTAAATCTGTATATGTAAATGAAGCTTATTATTGTTAGTGTATAAATTGACACCATCAGCCGCAGGATGTGAGGCTCCCTAAGTGTCACGGTTGACAAAAGTGGAAGTATTGTCAATCCTTGAAAGTTTTAGCCATCTAAGAAGTGAAAAGGCAGCCAGGCTTCCCCATACAGCTGTCTGTTAGTTTGGAGACAGGGCACTCAGAGGTCAGCGGGTGCACTCAATCTTCCCTATAGCTATGTGAGCCTGGGCCTTCATTCCTGGATAAAACCAAGTAAATGAAAAACCATGACGAGGGTGCTATTGACAGCTTACAAGGGATATTACATAGAGGGAGAAACTGGGGTTTTCAAAATTGGAGACATGTAAATGAATTCACATGAATCAAATTTTCATTCATTTATCCCCCCAATGCAATTTAATCAATAAGGCCCCATAAATCAGGAATACCACAATTTCAGTTACTCCAGCGTTGAGCCTGTAGCTAGCTACACCTGGAGGATGGAAAAGCCATTAAATGTTTAAAACCTTACTTAGGTGCCATCAGCTCCCATGAGAGGAAGAAAGCAGGGAAATGACTCACTCCATGAAGTGCTTGCTGCATAAGCATGAAACCCTGCACGAGCACCCACGTAAAAGCTGGCTGCAGCAGCATGACCTTTAGTCCCAGTCCTGAAGAGCAGAGGCAGGACGGTTCCTGGAGCCTGCTGCTAGCCAGCCAGTCTAGCCAGTAATGGCATTCTGCTTTGGTGAGAGAGCCTATCTTAAAAAAATACGGTGGAGAACAATCGAAGAAGATCCCGGTGTGGGCCTCTGACTTCCATAAGTACAGGCATGAACGTCTCCACCCATTGCTACCCTCCAACGCACACACGTTTAGCAAGGGTAGGATAAACCAAGAGTTTTGCCTTCTAGACAGTCACATTGAAACATGAATTCAGATACCCTTATGTGCCTTTTCCTAGGAACATAGGAACAAAAGTCTACTCACTCCACATAGGATCCCAAAGACAGACCAGAGAAATGATTCTGCCCAATTCTAACTTGCTTATATAGTGAACTTATTGGAGTCTTACAGGGGATTAGTTATAGAGTAACAGGTGACTCAAAGTCAACTCTGTCATCAAAAAATATACCCCAGCTGGGTGGTGGTGGTGCACACCTTTAATCCCAGCACTCGACAGGCAGATCTCTGTGAGTTCGAGGCCAGCCTGGTCTACCCAGCAACTTCCAGGACAGAATCCAAAACAATACAGAGAAACCCTGTCTCGAAAAACCAAAAAAAAAA